TTTTTTTTACATCAAATATCTTGAAACATTTAAATCATTTGATTAAAATTAACTATTAATAATGAACTTCTAATAAATTGTTCTCATAAATGTAAAATATTATTCAATTTAAATTAATAAATCTCATTTTGTTTCATTATATTCAAATTTTAATACATTTATTTTTATGTTTCTTTTTCAGAAATTGGATTTTTTTTTTGGATCGACCCAAATCAATTTTCCTCCGGGAGCCGGGGATCCCCTTTTCATTTCTACTTCTGTACTCTACACTTTGAATATTTTATGGTAAAAAAATCAAATTCATCTAATTTACATATTGTATCTTAATAAATCTGATATGTTTCTTTCAGAACTTGGATTTTCCTTAGTTTCTATATAAACAGAGTGTCCTTCTTCGAGAGCCGGGTAACCACTTATAATAATATTTGTTGAATTCTATACATTAAATGTTTAATGGAATAAAAATCAAATTCTTTTAATTTACATCAATTATCTTGAAACTTTTATATCATTTGATTAAATTTAACTAATAATTAATAAAACTAATAAGTATGTTATGTTTCTTTTTAAATTTTTGATTTTTTATCGTTTCAATCTAAAGGAGTTGTCCTTGGAGAGCCGGGTAATCACTTATTTTACCACACAACGATATGAAGTAAAATGATCAATACTTTTCGCTGGATAGTGTATCGGTCCTTTTGTTTGAATTTTTTTATTTGATTCGATATCAAGTATAAATATTGATAATTTTCTTTCTATAGTCACTCAAATCGGTCCTTTCATTTTGATATTTTACTCATATTGGTATTTTCATTCGATTCGATACCAAGTATAAGTATGTTTACTTTTCTTTGATACTACGTCCTTAGAGATAAGCACTTGAACACTTTTCACCATAGATAATAATGAATTTTATTATCTATGCCCTTCACACCACTCACCGTGTTCTTATCATTGTGTTCCGTGGTAGATGTTGATCATGAAGTTGGCCCCGGTTCCGAAAGCTGGTATCGGAAACGAAAAAACCGCTCCATCATTTTATCTTTATAATATTATGGTGTATGTTTATCGTAAGCATTACATCGCGTTATTATAATTGTTTCAAACGGAAACCGTTCGTCTTCTTTATTTTTCTGTTCGAACCAGCTCGTCCACTTCTTACCTCGCCGCAATGGAGACCGTTATCGGCATCAAATTTAACGACTTCGTGCTCATCGCCACGGACATGACGGCCGCACACAGCATAATGGTCATGAAAGACGGTGAGTCGTATATATTGTCTACACGTCTGGGCACGTCGGTTTTCCTGTAACACATCATTCACGCCCTAATCCCGTCCTCTTGGTATAGTATCTACTTTCAGCGAATCGTTGGAACCACTTCCGTGCAAACATGAATGACGGCCTCTCGTCTAAACTCTTCTAGAGACTTCTTCGTTGGGTCGTTGTACTAGCACTTTCAACCGTCGTTCAAGCAAACTCGTCGTTCCTTCCATTTAGTACATCCATAACACATCTCGATTGTTTAAAATGAGCCTTTTATTAAAATGGAACTGTCATGAAAATCAAAATTTGGCCATATTTGTTACATATTTATTGATTCTAGTTCTAGTGCTTCTTAACCTAAATCAAATTAAACTATTTTCTTAACACTTGCAGTTTGATGTTAATTAAACTAAATTATTATAAAGTAGTAGTATGATACAATTTAGAAGTTGTGGGTATTGTATTTAATCAATACTATAGTTTGTGTTTGTATTATCTTGTGGATAACTTTTTGATTGATTTTTTAGATGAAGACAAGACTTACAACATCACTGACAACGTGGTAATGGGTGTTACTGGTGAGGCAGGTGATGTACCTAGGTTTGCTGAGTATATTACACAAAATGTCAAATTATACCGCATGCGCAATGGATACGATCTGTCTATTCCAGCCATTGCAACATTCACTCGTAAAACTGTTGCTGAACACCTTAGAAGCCAAGTAATTGATTTTGAGTTTGTACCCACCTCTATTCTTGGATTTTGTTTTTAATCAATGACGAAAAAACATTGTTAACAAATGTATAATATTAAATATATTTGTTATAAATTGTATATGTAAAAAAAGAAATATAATTTGACATACTCTTTTTTTTTTTTTTATGTAGAGTCCTTATCAAGTAAACTTCATGCTTGGAGGATATGAACCCAAAGATAAGCAATCATACTTATACTTTATTGATTATTTGGGAGCCCAAGTTGATGTTCCATATGGTGCTCACGGATATGGTGGTATGATGACAATTACAGTTATGGACCGTTACTACAAAGCAGGTAATTAATACTTCATGGCTAAAATAAATAGTTACTTGAATAGAAATTATTACTGCTATTTTAATTTTCAGATGCAAATTATCAAGAAGCATACGATCTACTGAAAAAATGCATTTTAGAAGTTCAAAAGCGTTGCATCATTAACATGCCTAAATTTAAAGTTAAATTGTCATATGCTGGAGGTATTCAAGAATTGCCAGCAATTACCAAGGATAATATTGAACAAAATATTATTGTTAATGTAAAAGAATAAATATATTCTGACATTTACTTCTTTCTAAATGTATTTATATATATTTTTTTTTAATGTATATTATAAATTAAATTAATTGAAATATAAACATGCTACTGGTAAATTGTTTAATGATTACATTATTGGCTTATTTCATACTAACCTTTTTATCTATTGCTTCAGAAAAGGCTCAGTTGCGTATTACTGATATTATTACTTCTATCAATATTTTTAAAACCTTTTGTGCAATAATATAGCAAATTATGTCTAATGATTTATTTGTTATTATATAGAATTATTGTTAACTATAATCTATTATAATATTGTGTGAAGCTATAAATGTGTTATAGTGGTCAATTTTAAGAAATTTGAAAAGTGGTGACCCATAAAGTAGTTAAATATGCCATATCTTAGAAATTCAATAATACTCTTAGTTATAATGTATCTTAAAATAAAGCTAAATATATACATTTTTAATGGAGTAATATTATTTCTATAATAATTGTCTAAAAGTGGTTAACTAAGGCCTAATATTATATTTTATCTTATTTTTACTTGTAATGTATCACAATACTCAATAGTTTTGTATTATAGTCCTGAAATACCTACTCAAGGTTAAGGTAAATTGTGATTTTATTAAACACTGTATAAGACTATCAGGGTTTATTACCAATAAACACTCGCATCGATTTTGAATAGGGGAAAGTTATTGATGAAGAAGCATGGGTTTTTGAATTATATGAAAATCAGCAAGTTATTAGGAAAATTAGTTTTTATGATTGATCATTAAAAAAAATTGATTATGTTTTTCTTGTTGGATTATTTATTTTTTCGTACAATTTTGGATTAATTATACACTAAAGATCATTAGGCATCAATTTTGAGAGAATCGAAAAATGACTTAAAGATTTCCATATTCCATGACTATATTTATACTTAAGCGTTTCAAATTTCGATCCGACTAAACATTATATATTATTTTTAGTGCACATATAGCATATAACCGAAAGTTTGGTTACAGAAAGCAGAAATTTAACAGCAGAAAATCTATATGCTGTTTTCGAATAACTTCGCTGACATTTAATATTTAATAGTTATTAATATTTGATTGCTATTGCGTGATTTTGAGTTATAAAAAGACTACTGAAAGCCTGTTCAGCAAATCTGTGTAGATTTATAGTCTGGAGATACAATAATCAAAGAGAATCGAAACTAGACTGTAAATTAATATGAGTACTTATTGTTTGTACAAGAAAAAAGATGGTTGGATACTATTGTGAATGATATGAGGGCTGTTGGTGTGTGCATAGGGATGTAGAAAATCAAAATGGGTAGAGGCTTAGGATAAGGGTGGCCAACCCCAAATAGTCGGGAGAAAAACGAAGAAGATTTATTATTAGTACAGTAGAAGCTATTTTATTGTTTAATTATTATTTTACAACGTTAAATTGAAGTATTATGTTTAAAATATGTTTGTAGAAAATACTAGTCTAGAATTAACCGGCCTCTCCAGAGATATTTCAATATTTTGTATCAGATAAATTACTATTTCGTTGTGAAAAAAATTTAGGCTGAAAAAAGCGCACACATCGTACATTGAAATGATGTTTATTTTTATTTATTTATACTATAATAGGTTAGATTAGGTTAGGTTACATATTACGGTTACTATTAGAATCAATATATACCTAAGTATTAAATGCAATATTTCATAGTTATTCAAAAAATGGAACACGTATGTATCTAATCAAGATAACTCAAAACGGTTTTCGACCGTAAAAACATGTTTTTGAAAATATATTTTCTTGTTACACTTAAACATAAGTACATTTCAAATGAATCAGTGTTGTAGTTTTGGCTATACGCTAATTAGGCAGTGAGTGAGTTGTGTGCAGTATTTAATTTGTAAATATTATTAAGATTTTATAGATTATACAGTTGGGTTTAATATTTTTTAATAGGAAATATTATTTATCACTGCAGTAAACAATTTACATTTAGAAATATTGTTATACATTGCGAATGCCGGATACTATAAAGTACAATATAAATTAATCAACAATGAATTGATGGAAAAAATATGAATTGGATGCGTATATATTGACGTAATTCTATAATTTTACAATATTATTTTTTCAAAATGTTCAACAATTACAGCCATACGTATAGTTATAGTTAATGTAAAGGAGAAAAAAAATGTTCAATTGTCAATCGGTATACAATTTAATGTAATGTACACATAAATAGCTATTATAGATAATTTTACTTGCATTTTTAAACATTGTTTTCAATTAGGTCATAAATACGGAGTTTTTCATCGCATTGTTAATATTCTTGAATAAAATATACATTGCGACCATGAGTCAATAAACATATTTAATATATAGTTTTTGTATTTTTTAACGTGTACAAAACAATAGCATTTGTGTAATATTGTTTGAGCGGTAATTTTTTTTTCTTTTTTAACATTACACATTTGTAAATATACGGATCGAATTATAATAATATTATTATTTATAATTTTTAATCAGTCGATCGTTTTAACTAGTGGTATGATATAAATTCAGATTCTAAAAAATTTGAAATTCACAAATTTTGAAACCTGAAACGGGAATTTTTTAAATCCGAATTTTGTATTCTTACACTTAATTGAATTTAAATATTTAAACCTACATTTTCTAATGGTTTTAATATTTTGTTAATTGTATTAGATGATTAGAAGTACAATTCTACTTGTGACTAATTTTTGTATTTCATAGATACCCTTACTAAAAACAAGTGTTAATTTAATTAAAAAGAAAAATCAATCTATTAATAATAAGTTATTACGACCATATTATATGAATGAGTAAAATTATTCTAATTCAAAGTTTCAAAATCTGAAATCCAGGTTTATGTTATAGCAAAATTTGAAGTTTAAAATCTGAAAATCGAACTTTGAATTTTAAATTCTAAAAATCGGTATTTTCAAACTTCATTAAGCTCGAATTTTTCCCATCGTTATTAGGTTGGTAACATAATATACTCGTATATATTAAAAATAAAATGATCGTAAAATCGTTTGTACACTGAATTTTACGATATACCTATATAAAAACAATACGACATAACATTTAGTTTTTAAACGATTTCTACAGTAATTAAATTTTTTAGTCGTGTAGTTGACGGAAGAAGAGTGGAAAACTATCCGAGTTCTGTTCGAGAGACTCGCAACAGAACACATTATTCCGATTAATAATCAATTATACAGTTGTATATTATATTTTACGCGTACATGTGAGTGTACAAAATTGGTAATTGTATAATGTATTAGAATAATATTATTAATATTTAAACTAATATTCGATCTACGTATCATTATTGATAATGTTAGAAAATTAAACATTAACCCCCACCCACACTTAAAAGTTAAAACATCGATCGCCAATGTAACATAATTTTATTCGTCCCGATAAGTATTTTATCGAGCGTGTGCCATTATTGTTGGTCAGCATGGGCGCGCGCACAGGGTCAGCAAGAGCACACCCTACTGCTCCTAGATTGTTTAAATAGTTTTGTAAGGGTCGAACAGTCCATGCTGGGCTACCGTGTGACGTTCGGTAAAAATAAGTCAAGGGGTAGACGTAATATTTTACAAAAGATGTCATCAATAAAGGTCAGTTTTAAAAACGTAATATAAACAGTCATACCTAACCGTTCGTGTGAAAAAATTGGCCGGTAAAAATATTCGCTACTCCCGACCTGAAATTCAGCGCTAACCTACAACGGCCACTGATATACTTGTTGCGTTTCTAATGTTGATATCATCAATATTATTGTTTAGTGCGAGAATGAGATATAGGTTTTTATTTTCACACGCGCGTTATATAACATTATTATATACGTAGTATATGTACTCTGTGGCTGATATTGTAATATTTATTGTTTTATATATGTTTTATTGACTGTTGAATATTACAATATTCAATATTCCGCAGCCTAATCTCTTCTTAAAATTGACCTCGCGCATGATAAGCTGTTTCATTTAATATGTCTTATCTGTTGTGCATACAAATATACGATGTTCGTAAATTCTGTGTACAACGCATAAAAGATGCGCACAAAAAGTCCGTCAAACCTAATAAAAATAACCTGTGCACCTGGTGAGATGCTTTGATTTATGTATGCACTATCGCTGTTCCCCTTTTGCCGCAATACGCCACGGGCCGTTCGGTACACCGTTGATCGGTTAAACGTTTAAATATAAATACGATTTCACAATACACTTGCATGGATACCGCCTAGTACACAAAACACACACATTGTCTCAATCAGTGGCGTGTGCAGGAATTTGGTGTAGAGGGGGGGGGTCATACAAAAAATGTATTATTTTCAGTCTTTATTCTTTATTATTTTACAAAAAAAAATTCCATCAAGGCGGGAATTCATCCTTCTGGCTTTTATACTAAATTCATCAATAATTTGTTCTGTAGATAATTGGAATGTCTCGATGTATGTTCATTAACGCAAACCATTTAACCGTGACTGTCGGTCGTGCATCTTAAATACGTTTTTAAACGTTTAAGACTGAAAAAAAAAAGAAAAAAAAAGCCCATGTGGTGATATATGCTCCATTATTCCCCTCTGCGCACGCCGCTGGTCTCAAGGCTAATTTCGCGCGCGGAATCGCACCTATCGTACGGGGTGGGCACTGCGACGCGTGGCTTGTGGCTTATTTTCTACCCGAACAAAGGATTATTTTCCGTGCGAAGAATTTCCCCCGACGACCTTTATCCGTACTAACCGAGTGCGTATACTCGTAATATATGTGTTATCTGTTCGGTATTCGTGTAATACGCGCAATGCACGTAATATGCGTTAAATACTTCAATGTACATACTACCTCGCGAAACGATAATACTAAATAATAATAATAATAATAACCGTTTCTCATAATCATACGGAACACGAATATGCCCGAATAACAAATGGAACGATGAAATAATTAAACATTATGTAGGTTTGTAGTATTTTCATGTCGCATTTGGACCGTCGAACGAAAATAATATTCGTACAGGTACACCTAACCAGCTTTAATTCCGTACTAGTGGGCGCCGTGGTCGTGGTTTTCAAACAACCGTCCTGACCTATACGGATACAACTTTTTGCTCTTCTCAAACACACCACTGAAAATAATGCACACATTATACTCTATAACATGTACCTAACACGAAGTTTATACTATGTTATAAATTACATTATACACAAATACACAGTGCATTATACATTTATACATGCAGTGGTCATGCTTCTATGAAGGACTTGAACTCCGCGGTGTCCGTAAAGGGTATGTATGGATTTTTATAGGTTATTAGATTCATAGAACATTTTAATACTAAACGGATTATATGTTGTTGCTGAAAAAAAAATATATCTTCGTAATTTGAATGCGACAAAACGTAGACAGCCTCAGCATTTTTCGACTGAATGACCGGTAAAAAATATATATATCAGGCCCTATTTTTATGTGCAACACGAATGTACAAGTGTGCACTACGGTTTTAACGTGTATGCACTACGGTCTACAAAACAAAAATTAAATAATAAGCCAACTACTAGGAAATATGAGTATTATTGAATTTTTTAAAATTTAATGCATATATTATGTATATTATATATATATTATGTATGTAATATATTCCTTATTCTTAAATAGTAGCGAGACTAAATTTTCATTTAAATCAATAAAATCAAGTGTGCAGTCCGAAATTGTATAAATAATAGGGCCTGAAATATATCGCTGGATGTAATAGTACGTCATTACTATGAAAAATGATTCACTTCATTGTATAAATATTACAATATCTTACGTCCGAACATCGATCGTACCGACCGATTTTCAGTCAAAAATACACTTATTATTTTCTGTGCAACATATCCGATCGATGTAATAAATTTAATATCTACATTATGTACTATATTTACTTATAGAATAAAAATTCTGAAAACTGATTTGAATTTAGTACACGAAAACTTATTTGCATTTCGTAAAAATTAATTTCTAGGTATCCGTTTTTATTTAATTTTCTAAAAAAAAATATTGTAATTAAAAAAAGTGCACAAGCTCAACCGTTCTGAAGTATTGAACGGGAACGTAGCCAAAGGGAGTGGATGACATGAGAGTTATAGAAGGCCCATATAAGAAAAATTAATGGCTTCTATCTGGTCCATCGGTAAATAAATGATTAGAATAAAAATATAACTAAAATCTGTTATTTGTACTTTTATAACATGGAAGGGAAACTCGAATTAACTATAGGGCTAATTTATGGAACTTCAAAATCTGGCTGGCCGGAGTAAAGAAAGGAAAAATAAAAAAAGGTCATTAAAATTGACAATTAACATTTATTTTATATAATTTAATCAGTGCCGTAACTAGAGGATGGCGAATGGGTAGTTGCCAAGTAAGGGGCGCATTTAAGCTAGATTAAAATTGATTTATTTACATAAAATAAGTGCCAAAATAAAATTCACCAAGGGCACCACGGAGGGTAGTTACGGCACTCGAACCAAACAACATAATAAGAACCTATAGGTACCTATAGCTACGTTAGCTAAGCCAATACGGGATATACTGTATATATATTTGTATATTATATTTAATCGTTGAATACATTTAACTGCAGTTCAATACTAAAGAAAAATATAATACCTACATTTTACAATCAAAGTGATAGAATGAAATACCGATAAACGATAAAATGCTATAAAGTCATTTGAAAATGTAACACGGTTCACATAAAAAAAAAAAATACGCGGATCGGATTCGGTTTGCGGGCCCCCAGTTGTCCATCCCTTCTATATGTTTAAAACAATATTTTAACGTAAACATACACATTATATAAAACACAAGCGTTCAGCAATCGAACCATATATTTTCGTATCACACCGTACCTACGTATTTAAATATGTATTCATAATTTATAACAACTTTTTTTTTGTTTATACTCTTAGATGTATATGTTACCTTAATATCACGATCATGCAAATATATTAAATAAATAATGAATATAATGCACATAACAATATTTGATTCGTTTGCATTATGATTATTTTTATGTGATGCTGTGGCGGGTAAGAACATTAGCGACTGTACGTGGTTGGATTATACGCGCATTACGCAGACAAATGTCGTACCGTCGAAACTATAAAAAAAAAATCGCTTTTGCGAGTATAATATCTCATATAACACGATGCGGTACGATGCCGTTGCAGCCTATGCGACGTGCATTAGTCGAATTATAGCTGCCCATTCAGGCGCGGTTTCAGAGATTCACCAGAGGGGAGAGGGCATTTTAAGTATTAACTGATAATATTGGTTTCCCCAAACTAGTACTGAGACACAGAGTCCGAATACGCTACTATATTATGATACACGCCTCATAATACGGTTTTTCAGGCAAAATAAAATTGTTGGATTGGTATCTAATTGAACAATCGGGATTATACAGTTCGCGAGGAGAAAAATGTATTAAAAAAATTTTAATTTTTGAAAATCCCGGGTGGGCCATGTCCTCAGTGCCCTCCCCCCTCGGAGCTGCACCTGTGCCCGTCGGTATGTAACGTTTGGATTATTGCATCGAATCGATTGAAAAACGAAAACTACGACCGTCACACCGATACGTCGGTGACATTACAACCGGGGAGGGTCCGGTACCCGAGACGATCGATCGACATATTATTAGATCGTAATAATCCCGCGGACGGCATACATAATACCAAGTGCAGCGCCTATTCAGACGGACAGTACACCGTAAATACGTTTGCAATCCGCACTGCAGGCGAACAGTAAACCGCGACCGCGTATCAACCAACGTTGCAAGCGGCGTGGGCGAGGGCGTGGGCGGCGGCGAGACGACTTCAACGCGATTTCGCGAGATCCCGTGTAAACGTTGCGCGCGGAACGAAAACAATTATTTTTCCAACGGCGATCGTAGAAAGAGCGGATAGAAAAAAAAAAATACGTTTATAATTACGTTTCGCCGAATTCACGTGCGGCGCACGTAGTAATCCGCGCAGTGGCTGCCAGAGCGATACACCGCCGCGGTCGCAGGCCCGTGGCGCGGCAGCGGCGCCAGATAAGCGTGTCGACGGTTCCGCGTCCGCTATGTGTCGACACTGCGCGACCGGCGGACCAATGGCGGCGCCGCAAAGTGACGTACTTTCCGAAAATAACGCGATGACTCATCGCCGACCACGTCGGGGGGCCCAGAACCGTTTGCCGTTCGCCGTTCATTCATTCGCGTTCCGTGTGCCTTTCCGTCGTGGCGTCGCCCGCGCACACCGATTATTTCTGTCTCCGGTCGCCCGTCGCTCGGATTTTATTTTTCTGGTTTTTTTTTTTTTCAATTTTTCTTCGCCACCGTTCGCGCGCGTCTTGTTTGTTATCACATCGCCGTTGTACTGTCGTCATCGTTCGTATCATTTGCTTATCAATTATTATCTGGTATCGTTTTTCTGCGGAATCCTTTTTTTTTTTTTTTTTGAAAACAGTTCCCTCCTTTGGACTCGGCTGTGGTGTGCCAAATATTTTCACTAATACATATTTACAAACTTACAAATTCACACGCACCTTCTGAGGGACGAGAGGACACGGAACGACTGGACCCAGTCGATCGCGCTATATCGCGTGTACGTACGAAAAAATGGTAAATAACTCGTCCAACAGTATGATGTTGGACGAAGCATTTTACGATGATCGGGTGATCCCCAAAGTCGAGACCCAGACAAACGAGGTGAACTTTCTAAAGAGGCCTATGACATTGGACCTTAATTCGTGTAACCAGGACAACTCCGGCAAGAAACCCAAGTATTTGCAGGTGCAGTTGACGTCGCCCGACCTGCACATGCTCAAGCTGAGCTCGCCCGAGTTGGAACGGTTTTATTTGGCACAGCAGACAGCTCTAGGCCACATCAATACACCTACGCCTTCCCTGTTCCCCAAGTCTGTTACCGAGGAACAAGAGATGTATGTGCAGCCGTTCGTAGAAGCCCTTAACAGCTTGCACAACAACGATTCAAACAGTGCCAACCGAGTGGAAATACCATTGACCAGCAGCGGTAGCAATTCCTCCGAGTACAAGTCTGAACCCCAATATTCTGTATTGATGCCTTCAAACGATTTCTCCAACATCATACCTCACCATATCATCAAAGAAGAACCACAAACTGTACCGAGTGTGACATCTTCGTCTCCACCCATGTCACCAATCAACATGGAGTCTCAAGAAAAAATCAAACTTGAAAGGAAAAGACAGAGAAATCGAGTGGCTGCATCCAAATGTCGCCGAAGGAAATTAGAACGCATTGCCAAGCTCGAAGACAAAGTAAAAGTACTGAAAAATGAAAATACCGAACTCACCACAGTATTGAACAGACTCTTGGAACAAATAAGTCAATTAAAACAAACCGTTGTTGAACACATGCATAGTGGTTGTGAGTTTGCAATGAATACACTGTGACCTGTAAGTTGATAAAACTTTCTACTTAATTTTTCTTTGTTGTGAAGTAAATATTTATGTAAAACAAGAGTGCGAACATTAATGATTATTAAAATATGACAAACATTTTTAATGATGTACCCAATAAAATTATTTAATATCTAAGTAATTAACTAACTTTTAGTGTACCTATCTAATATCTAGTACTTATAAGCCTAAAAGAGACCCCTTTTAAAATGTTTTTGAGTTAAAAATGTTAGTTTGATAACATTTTCTACTATTGTTTGTCCAATCATACCAATAGGTACTTACTTTTTTTGTTGTTATAAGTAAATCTATGTCTTAAAATGAACCAACTAAAAATTAATATTTGTTTTTGATAGTATTTAATTTAGTTTTTATAAACAAAACATTTTTAACAGAAAATTAATTTACTTATGTTTCAAATGGATTAATCGGTATTCAGGTGTAACCCAAAATATAAGTACTATCAGTATAATATATTATTATATATTAATAACCATTTGTTTTTACTTTACAGTTAATAACGAACACAGTTGAATTCATTGAAAACATCCTGAATTTGGATGCTACTTCCTGCCTGTCTGTGAGTTTTTCTTATTTTTTCTACACAATTTTTAATAAACCAATAAATTGCTTCAAAAATTGCTCAATTTCTTTGTAGCCTTTTTTAATATATTTTTATAACTATAATTTTATATTATGATACAAAATTCTTTTACAAAATATTTTTTTCATTAAATTGTAATAAATTTAAAATCAAAACAATAATTTTTTACTTGTGTTTTACAAACGTGCAATTACTAGGTAATCAAACTTTTTACTGTGCTATTTTTTAATATTTTTTATTTAACTATATACAATGTTATTATTGTTCATTATAGATAATATATGGATTATATTATATAATTAACTATAAACTTATTTAAATTAAACTAGCAGCAACAGAATAATTCTGCACCTGATGCCTTTTAATTGTACGAAAGCCATAAAATATATGTGTTATGCTCAAAATGTTAAGAGTATTTAAGATTTTCTAGGATATTTATACAAAAAATTTTAACATACATAAATATTTTTATATTTTCTACAAATGTTAAATGAATTCTATGAAGAAATTGTTATGTGAAAAAACCAGTGTTGCCTTTTATATGTATATTTCAAGTTTATCTTCTTCACCATTATAAATTTATATTTAACGTGCCAATTAAAGGCTACTTGTTTATAATGCAATAACTTAACTGATATTTTAAGCTTTTACCAGACAATAATAGGCCAAAGTTAATTAGATGTAATTTTTGTAAATCCCATATCTATATATTTATATTGTATATTATTGAATAATATTAATTTGTATTGATGAGACTTTAAAAAACTGGTCTTGTTGTGATTTATTGATCCCTCCGCTCTTATTGCAGACAACTCGAAGTTGATAAGTCATGTTCCTAGGTGCTCTAGAGTGTAACAAAGCAATTCTTTTTAATGTAATGTTTTTAAAATCCAATATTAAAATATTTAAAATCGTAATATTTTTTTGATTCTATAATATTATATTATTTATAAAATTGAATATTTTATTTATATTAAGTATGATTAAGTGTAAAATTATTGTGTGAAAATGATTATTGTGATTTTAAGATAATTGTAATTTTAAGGCTTTGTGTGATTTTTTGACTCTAAGTGATGTTTTATTTATAAAAAAATTTTATTAAAATTATTTTATAAAAAAACAACACCTGGCTCGATTTTTTTTTTCTCTCTCTCTCTCTCATTGCTACCACCATCCTGCTTCCTCTTTTTCCCGTCCACGTCCACCTGGCCCAAAACCTTTATGATGTGAATATTATTGTTAGTAGGGGTGGTGTCATGAAAGTAACGATCAACTCTCCTAGGAATTCTAGGGGGAGGTGGTTACGTAAACGGTTTGTTGTCGAAAAAAAAAAAAAAAAAATACGCGATAAATATACGATTATACGGTTTGTTGGACAGCAGCAGTAACATCACAGCTCTCTACGATGACGTCAAGGTGAACCGGTTATGGTCGTCGTCGTCGTCGTCGTCGTCGTGTGCGTACTTGGAATAGGTGCGTTTATTTATATTGTATTGTGTCGGATTCACGTTTTTTCGAGTGTTCGGCGCGCGCGCTGTGGCGAAAAAACAACGGCAGCCGAAATCTTTTTATTATTATTCTGATATGTGTACACGCGTGCGCGGTGTGTACGCGTTGGGCGACCGTACACAGATACGCCGTTTTCAATCTCCGTCTCTCTCGCCTTCCCCACCCGCCGTTCCTCCTCTCGCGTCGGCGACCTTGGCGTTTCCGTTTGGCAAACCGTCAACGCGCCTTGTTCCGTGCACAGCGCGCGCGCGCGCCGTACATATGAAGTCGCCAGTGATCGCTTTTGCGGTGTTGCTAAACCGGAATCGAACGGGAAAGTGGGGGGGAAGCGCAAATCGCCACTTCGGTGCGAAAAAACGATACGCGCCACGGTCGCATAAAATATTTGTGTACGAATCGACCCCTTTCGCGAGTGGCGGCACAACAGTCGTCCGCCCGGCCACCGACCACTAACCCCCCCCCCCCCGCCGGACGAAGAGAGAAATAAACGCGTTTATTACATTTGTTGCCGAGCCGTGTGTAGGGTGGATTATTACTATTATTATTCTACGATAAAAGTGCGCCGCTGCTGCCTTCTCTACTTGCACTTCCGCGCGCCGAGACCGATTGGCGTACACACATATACGAGTACATAAAGTGTGCGTGTGTGTGTAATTACCACTCCTTCTCCTCTGTTGCGCAGTCCACTGCCGTCTCCTCGGTTGACCCCATTCGATTGTCGAGCCGTGCTCGTATGGGGGTTAGGGTCGAGGCGACGCACTATGTAACGTGAATGGGATTTTTGAAGGTCGACTACCGGCGGAGACCGCTGTGCACGATCCACCATATTCAACTATTGTAATTGAAACGTTACTATAAATCTTCATTTTTAGTTTTGGTTTTAAATGTAAATTTAAAAATCAACAAAAACATATTCTGTCGACCCAATATATTATTATACTCGTATACATAATTAATCATTTTAACCTCGTGTAATTGAAGTAATGTCATTGAACGCCTTCTTCCATTATGCCTATTAAACAATAATATTTATACAGACCGTAAATGTTCCATTATTTTTCAATAAGAAAAAAATCACGTATAAATGTAAATTAGTGCGATATAAGTTAAAACTATTTTTACGTGTTGATATTTCTTTTATGTTCTCTGTAATATGTTTGTGTAAGGAAAATGTCATTAAAACGATATTGAGAGTTATTGATTGTATTTACCTATAGGTATTTATCGTCCGTGAAAAAAATAGTCTGTGGCATGCTTATGGTGGTAACCAAGTAGTACCTAGCCCACAACATAACAATTGTTGTCTTTCCTTGCGGGGCAGGCTGCAAGCACGTTTTCTCCAATAATCGCTTATAATATATACTAGGATAATTTTACGCGTCATAAGAATACGCATTTATTATTATACTTGTTAACGTTTTCTTTTATTTTTTACTTTTTTTTTCCACAATCAAACGAGTATCATGAGTGATTTCATCTCGTTCTTAAAGAACCCATATCACATGTAAGTCTCCGTCACTATTCCCCTTTGCAAAACCTACAATGATCATTACTGCAGACGTAATGCAAGAAACGTCCTTACGATCCGCGATAATAAGTATAAAAGGTGTCTATTGGTTATCGTTAACAATATATGTATTCTTGTGACTCGTCGCGCGTGGCGTAGTCGAAGATTATGCACATGTCTAAGGGAATAAATTTCCCCTCGTGTTTCAACCGATTTTTCTATGCGATTGCAATAATGTAGTGAAATTGATTGTCACGTGTTGATTTCAATTTATCTTTATTATTTCCTTTTGTCCTGCGGTGACAAGTGCAGCGCAGTATAGGCTACATACTACATTCTTGTTTTCAAAAGGCGCTACTCGTATTATTGTCCTATTAAGGTACAAAAACATTAAAAAAAAATATTATTGCGAAATGTAATCCTCAAACATCATATAAACATTTATTGTTATATTTAAAACTTAACACTCTACAAGTTAGAAGAACAAAATAGGTTATCTTCTTTATGTACAAGTTATTGAATGGTTATATTTATTTTCCAAACCTGTTATCAAAATTGTTTTTTTTTTTAGTTCCTAGTTATACTAGACAGGTTAACATTTTTTATGTGCGATTCAAACGTAAAAACTCTCCTTTAATTAGAACCAAGTAACATGTAAATAATTTTAATATTGATATTTTCGTACATAACACTATTCATTTTATTAATTTGTATATTAATGACTTAATCACTTAAATATATAATGTATACCTCTCAAAACATCTATATTGTACATTGTTATTATTGTTATTTTCTGTTTCTATATAACTATTGTGATTGGGACCGCCCGTTTAATCATAATAAATAAATAAATACAATTTTACAAATACAAATACAAAATATCATTTTAATTATTATAATTGAAAAAAAATTTAATACTCTTACAACCTCTTAATTTTTTGTTATTGTAATCGAGTTGTCGTAAAAAAGCTTCTCGAAAAGAAAACCAATCTTCTATAAATGTTACGTATAATGAAAACAAAGATTTGAATCAATGAAATGAATTTTTTATTGTAAAAGGTAACTCTTGAATTAATTAATTCTGACAAAGCAAACGGTCGTTAGGCGTTGCACATAGAGCCAACACGTTTGCTACGCCGACTATGACATTACTGGACTGGTTATCTACACAATGGTAGCCACCTAAGATAACGTCGCCGCGCATATCGAACATACCGGCCACCTTGAAATATTAAGTTTCAAATAAAAAAAAATATATATATAGGTAGTAAAAATAATGACAATCATAATAATAAATAAAAATAAAGTGACAATAATAATTGTTCACAAAAAAAAAAAAAAAAAACATGATAATAATTATATACGTGCACATAGGTACAAAAAAATTAAATGGCAATGGGCATAAATAACGCACAGCGCGTTTGAATTACCCGTGACTCTTTCTGACAGTTGCCACACATACCAGGTCGTCCGCGCCAATAAGTGTTGTAATAACTCGACCAGTGGATCCCTGAAGTGGTGGAAGATTGTCGTCACGAATTAAGACGACTGTCCCCAATTGGATGCTGGGACCACGAGATCTAGACCATTTATTACGTGATTGTAACTGAGCAAGACAATCTTGTCTCCATCAAAACCAGAGATGCTGAGAGAGTTGGGTGACTCTTCTCCATCTCGATAACCTGTTAAGAGGTGTAGCCATCTTAGGAATCGCCAATGAGGAAATGTCCGGGTGTTAAGACGGTCATGTCGGAAGGATCGGTGGAGAGAGATGTTAAAGGACGGAAATTTAATATCGCCTCAGTTCGTACTTAACTCGTATTTGGTTCCTCGAAGGTGAGTGACGCTTTACCCAGTGTCTTGTATAAATAGGTTTTCTATAACTTTACCACCGCCTCTCGCAATCCATCAAAATGTGGCGAACGTTCCATTGTATCTCACACTTTGCCTTAGCATCGTTGACCTTATTTTGATGTTTTGTGGACAAAAATAATTTTTTACTTCTCGTAGTCGACAAAATTGGTAGCGTTGTCCGAATAATTGTCGGTACACAATCCACACCGGTCGCAATGAATCTTTGCAATGCGTTTAGAAAGGATTGCGTAGTAAGATCACTGACCAATTCCCCGTGCACCGCCTTGGTAGCTAAACATACCAAAATGCATGCATATGCTTTGTTGGTAGATGCATTTCGACGTAGGCTTTTGTTAACACGAAAAGGTCCCGCAAAATCTATACCGGCCTTTGCCAGCTTTATGCAAACCTGCAATCAAATCGTCACGCAATTTTAACGTTTCCAATATAGAATCTGCGCCGCCGAGGAATTCGATAAAAACATTAAAATCTTGGTTCAAAGCACTACACGCCTCGGGATATCGCAGAGCTTCGTCCCTTGACAGTTTGCTTAAACACGCCGTAGCCAAATACGATGCGGTTATTACGCCGTATGTGACCGCCTTCAAACAATGCGTATTTAAAAGCTAGTCAGGATTCTCACGCCACAAAATACGTTGGTAATCGCGTTGACTTTCAGTGACCCTAATTTGCCGGTACATTATTTTTTATGTCAGCGGTAATAGCATGTCTGTGCGTTCTAAATTGTGCCATTATAGAAACTAATTCTTCCTGTATACACGGTCCCTTTAACAACACGTCGTTTGAACTAAGGTTTGTGTCCGTTTTCGCCGATCCATCGAATACTACACGAAATTTGGTGCTTAGAGTACCTACTAGGTACTCTCTTTGAACACGCCATGGTGTGGTAAATAATAACAACGATCTGTCGGTGCAACAACGGAATTCGCAATCGCCAAGTGTCCAAGTTCAGCATATACGTTCATACATTTCACGTAATCATTTTTTAGATTTTTATCTGCTTGCAAACGTCTTTCTAACAACATGAATCGGCGT